CTTGCTTTATTTAATATTTAGCTTTAGGTTGCTTAAATTTACTTTAAAACCAGGATAGGGAACTCATTACCAAAAAATAAAATTCTTTCTACTTACAGAGAGAAAGATCCAGTAGTTAGAATTTACTGAATTTAGGAAAAACTTAGTTCCCTAAAATTTCTCATTGGTTCTAATTCTATGCTCTGAAAATAGTAAATCTCGTCTTATTTTAGGTCCTTGGGTATGTGATGAAGTTTCTTTTTTTCCAGGCTAGACATCCTTCCACCCTCCCATCTCTCCTGGTGTCACGTTCTCCAAAGCATTCGTGGTCCTTGGCCAGGTCTGCCAGATGCAGCATCTAGGAAAATGTGATACTTGGTTTCTTTGAGTATCTCGTGTGTGTGTGTGTGTGTGTGTGTGTGTGTGTGTGTGTGTGTTTTCCTGCTAAGGGAACTTATGTAAGTCTCTCATTTTCTTTCACTTGAATTCTATCTTAAAATATCATTTGTACCTATAATTTAGAAAGCAATTGGGAAATTTTCTCCTTTAAATTTTTTTCTTTTTATTAAATTTATTGGGGTGACACTGGTTAACAAAATTATATAGGTTTCAGATGCACAATTCTATAGCACATCATCTATACTGTATTATGTGTCCATGACCATTTATCCCCCCTACACCCTCCTCCATTTCCCTCCACCCTTCTCTCCTTCTGCACACTGTTGTCCATGTCTATGAGTTTTTTCTTTTTTTGCTCAGTATCTCAAAATGAACGGACATGGTGACTGAGTGGTGCTGGAATAGCTGGCAGGATACATGAGGCTATTGCTCTGCCTTCTTGGGCAAGTCTCTTAAGCTCCCTAAATCTCATTTTTAAGATAAAGGGATCATTTCTAAATCTAAAGTTCTACACCTTTAGTTTAGATAAAGGTTTAACATGCAATGTGAAAGACTTGAAATTATTAGTAAACTAGAGGCCTGATGCACGAAAATCATGTAAGAGTAGGTCCTTGCAGCAGCAGCTGCCTTGTGGCCCGTGGACTCCCCTTTGCCCCCACCTCCACTGGTTGTTCCAGAAGGTCATCCAGAAGGTCTCCTCTGTTCAGTCTAATTAGCATAGTAGCTCTTTATTATATAGGATAAGCTCAAAATAAGAGCAAAATCACTAAGACACAAAGGCATACACATATTAATAAGCCTATTAATACTATAAGGTATCAAAATGAGCCAAACAATTTGACTAGTCAGTTTATATGTGGGCCATATAGACATCCTCCAAAAAAACTTTTCAAACAAAGAGTTTCCAAGAATGTTACATAAAAGTCATTTGTATCTTGATATTCCTTGATGACAGAATTTGACTATAGTGGTGGCAGGAGGGACAAGGTTTTTTGTTTTGTTTTTTAAATTATTTTATTTTATTTTTAAAAATATATATTTTATTGATTTTTTACAGAGAGGAAGAGATAGGGATAGAGAGTTAGAAACATCAATGAGAGAAACATCGACCAGCTGCCTCCTGCACACCCCCCACTGGGGATGTGCCTGAAACCAATGTATATGACCTTAACTGGAATGGAACCTGACTGACGCTCTATCCACTGAGCCAAACTGGTTTCGCATGGGACAGGTTTTTTTTTGTTTGTTTGTTTGTTTTTTATAGAATTCCTCCTGCCACTAATAAATTCATGGTATTGGATCACACTTATAACTGTGTAAGATTAGGATATTGACAACATACTAGAAAAACATATTTTTTACTCTAATATGCATAATCTATAATATATTTGGAATCAGTGTAACTTAAATGAATAGGGCAAATAATTTATAATTAAGTTATTTAAACATTTGAGTTAATGAAAAACTGGATAATGTAATTTTTTAAATTTTATTTTTATTGTTGACACTATTACAGATGTCCCCCATTTTTCTCCCTCTTTGCCCACCTCTTCCCCTGTCCTTCACCAGACCTTTGTCTGTGGCTATGGGCTGTGTATATATGTTCTTTGGCTAGTCTCTACCTTCTTGATAATTCATTATGTTTAGGTAATACAAATTATTTAAAGCTTTAGTACTCATTATTTTCCTTGTCTGTTTTATTTCCTTACAATTTTTTTGTTTTTTGTTCAAGACTTGAGGGAACCTGTTAGTAATAATTAGTTTTCATATCATTGTATAACACTTGTGATGCACTCAGTCCTTCTTTTTTAGTGGAAAAGGGAACATATAGAAGAAGCATAGGGCATTCGAATGTTGTTCGAGTACTAAATGAAATATTAATGCAAGTAAATTCAGAAGGACACAAATAACTGCAAAGACGGGAAATTTCATGGAAATAACATAGGATGGGAATTGTTATGCTGTTGTTCAGTTGCTGACAATTACTACAACTTTCATAATAGTCATTGGAAGTGGGATTTTTGAGAGCTGAAAGGACTAATTTGAGAAGGATCTGGTGTGAAATGTGCCTTTCTATAGGCAGAACACAGGATTTGTTAAGTGGTTGCTGCATGAATGCATGACTTGGTTGGGCAAAGAAATAAGTGCATTGCCTTTTTTCTCTTGGAGAAAGCATTAAAGACATTGAGCCTCATAGGGCACACATGTACTCACTAGATACCTGGTTGAGGTGTTAAGGTTACAATTGTGTACCGACATAGAGGAGTATCTGGCAATAGCTGTAGGAAGGGGTGGTTGTACACTGAAGAAACCTTGAATATCAGTAACTGTACAGTTGGATTTCACTGAAGGGATAGAGAATAAAGGACTGATATGAAAAAAAAATCCACTCTTTGTTTATTCATTAAATAAATATTTAGACTCCATGATAGGCCTTGCAATGTAAGAATGGAAGACCCAGCCCCTGCCTTCAGGGAGATTACATTTTAAAGGAAGGTGACTGAACAAGCTGATATATGCTCTAATGGAACAGAAACATGTGCAGGTACTTCAGCAGTGCAAAGTGGGTCCCTGGTCAGTGAAAATTGCCTATTTTCTTGATCTGCTTTTCCTCACCTTCAATTTCATTCTTCCTTCTAATTATTATTTTAAAAAGTAACAACTTTCAGAAGTTAAAAAAACAACAACAGACACTTAAGGGATCACCTGGTTTCTTGGTACTTAAAAGTTGGTCCATGGAATATTAGCATAGCCTCAGTTGCAGCTTTCTAGAAAATGCAGAATCTTCCTAAAAATGGGCCACATCTTAGCCTTACTGAGTCAGAGACTGCATTTTAGCATCTCCTCCCTCCCCAGGTGACTCTTTTTTTTCTTTTTTCTTTTTCATTCACGTTAGAGAAGCACGAATCTAGTTTGCCCCTATATCCGGTTTTATAGATAAAGGACAGGAGGACATTGTGCCCTATGCACATAGCAGAGCTGCCAGGAAAACTCTGTTCATTGATGGAGTCTTGCATGATTTCTGTCATATCCATTAATTCTCACCTACGCCCCTCCACCTTTTCTCTCTTCTATTGGCCTCTGATAGTGCTTTATATTGTCAGATATCCAGCTTCTTACTTCTCTCTCTTATTATCAGTATTCTCTTTAAAATTTTCTGTTGAATGAGAGAATGGTACAGGTTACTCACAGTATATATCAAAGAGAATACATTTTTATTCTTGATTTCTGGAAATTTTGAGACCTATTTCTCACATTTTTAAATTTTTTTTTTAACTTATTGTTCAGAACATCCTATGAAGACAGTAGGAATTCTTTATATGGATTAGAGTGAGCAATGATCTATGATGTTAGATTATTCCTTAAAGCAGTCCTTTTGCTATTTGTTTCAATCTCATGGAAAAAATAGTACCTGCCTTCAAGTTTATGGATAAGAATAGCATACTATAGCAACTCCTTCTTTAGTCACCTGAAGTAGAGAGGTTTTCTATAATGTAGAAAAATAAACTTTCCTGGAATGTAGAAAAATAAAGATCTAAATAGATAAGTACTACCATGTTTTAAGGGAGCCTTTGGCATAGAAAGATATAAGCAAAGAAAGATAAAATGACAACATTAAGGAAACGTGTACAATCACTGATAGGACCATAGTGACACAGTGTCTTCAAACAAAAAACCACTCCTCCCTCCTCTGAGAGATTTACTCTCTCTCCTGTCCTTTTAAGTATTTTAGATCATTTTCAGTCTGGAATACATTTTGGTTTAAGTGGTAGAACCATAATTTCCCCTTCAGTCCCCAAGCTGATGCTCTATCCACTGAGCCAAACCGGTCTCGGCAGAAATATTTTACTTCTGTCAGAACTATTGTAAAATTGATTCATGGATGTATATTTAAATAGTAAGGACACTTTATTCATTTTCAATGAAATAGTGTATTTTATATGTATATTTTTATACATCTGTAAGGTAAATGATTTATAACTTTAGAGAAAAGCTATAAATTGGTTATGTTTATGGGTAAAAAAATACTCATGTTCTCAAGAAAAAATGTCTTGAATATGATGATTCTCATTTAAATAATTTATAGACTTGTAATGATCTTTAAGTTAATGTCTCAAATATAACTATATTTTTGTCTTCAGTATCCAGAAATAGCCCAGGAACTGGCTTTCATTGCTCCACCCCTCTTCAGTGTAGTAATTCTTTCCTGTCTTAGACATAGGACGGAGCAGCTTCCAAACTGCACTGATAAATTTCACATTTAATATGGAAGACATGTTTCTCCTTACAGTGTTTTTCTGTCTATGAAGTGTCTCATTAATTTCTCATCTAATCCCAATAATTTTCTATATTTTTAGTGAGCTTTATTTCTTGTCTTTGCTCTCTAGGTTCTCTGTAAAACATAATGTGTGCCATATGTAACAAAACTTCGTTTTCAAAAGCTGCTCACGAGACTCAGTCTTGTTTCTTTGGTTTTTATGTCATGTATTTTTGTTGGGACTCACAGGAGAATGATCTATATTTGGTCAATTTAGGAAAACCAAGTTGAAACACAATTCCCCAAAAAATCATTTTATAAAAAATTGTTTGATAAATTTTATGTTATTTTGTTCTCTCTGTAGATAAACGTGTGGAAAATTGGCCTCTAATGCAGTCTCCATGGCCTACACTTTGTATAAGTACCCTTTATCTGCTGTTCGTGTGGCTGGGCCCAAAGTGGATGAAAGCCAGAGAACCTTTTCAGATGCGCTTAGTGCTCATACTCTATAATTTTGGGATGGTTTTGCTTAATCTTTTTATCTTCAGAGAGGTACGTTTACTAAATTCACTATATAATTCCCCTGGGTTATTGGAAATTAAAAAAAGAGAATATGTAAAACCATCATTGTAACATTGTACCATAAGATAACTAAGTTATTCGAAAACATGTCAAGCTCAAAGGCTAACATGGGCCAAATAAACGAGGCATGTGGCCCATGGGCCACGAGTTTGACATGCTTGCTCGAAAAATAAATTTTATATTATTGACATTTTTCATTTTTGGATAACAAAAATATAAAACATACATAAGGTATTGGACAAGTGTTTAAAAGGAAATTTTGAAGCAGGCAGACTGGGTTTTAAAGTAAACCTTATGAGTTGTTCTGACATTGGAAATTATTTAACTTTTCTGAGACTCATTTTCCCATTAAATGGGGAAAACACCTACCTTTTGGGTATCAGAGATAAAAGTGAAGTAACTTTTGCATAGAATTTAGTACGTATTAACTACTCAGTAAATAGTTGCACATTTTTATTTATAATTATTACTCAGTAGCTTCAAGTTCATGACTGATCAAACTATGCAGATGTAAAATACCAATTTCAAATTAAATCCTATTACATAATACCATTGTAATTTGGATTGAAGGTAAAATGAGTTCACTGTTATACAACTATTGCCACTAATCATTGTATACTTTTCTGGGCACTAGCAAATTCTTTAATTGGCAACTTAGGCTAAGGAATCTCAACTTGGTAAAAAACTTTTTTACCTAATTGGTTAGATACAAACCATTTGAGATCAAAAATAAAAATCAGCTGAAACCGGTTTGGCTCAGCGGTAGAGCGTTGGTCTGCGGACTGAAAGGTCCCAGGTTCGATTCCGGTCAAGGGCATGTACATTGGTTGCTGGCACATCCCTGGTGGGGGGTGTGCAAGAGGCAGCTGGTCGATGTTTCTCTCTCATCGATGTTTCTAGCTCTCTATCTCTCTCTCTTCCTCTCTGTAAGAAAATCAATAAAATATATTAAAAAAAAATAAAAATCAGTATAACTCATATCTGAGGCATGGTCAATCAAAATTTCTTTTAATATTATGAAGTAGATAGGATTGATGTCTTAGTCTAAAAGTGACATGTGATTTTTAATTTATTCTAAATTTCAGAATAAATTGAGACAGTAAATTGTAAAAATTCTAACATTAAATGTTTAATGCATTTGAAATATTATAGGTAATATTATTTTTAAAAGTAATTTCAAAGATTGCATATTGTATTTAGGGCTCTTAAATGCTGTATCTACTAAAACTTGACTACAAATATTATTCCCTTTTCTTCCAGTTATTCACAGCATCTTATAGAGCAGGATATAGCTATATTTGCCAGAGTGTGGATTATTCTGATGATGTTAATGAAGTCAGGGTAAGTACATTAACTTTTAATCAGTCAAAGAGGATCTAATTTTATAGTCTCCAGTCTGTGAAAAACATACTTTTATATAGTGCTACAAGTGTACTGGATTGTTTTGTGTCAATAAAGCTATTTTTTTAAAGTACATAATTAAAAATCTGTTTTTTTTACCTACAGTGTTTTTCATTTGGTGCGTGAGTATGATTACATGATGGATTACTAGATTGCAGTACTTACGCTTAATGTAAAAATTTTAGATGTTTGCTGTTTTTGGTCAAGAATAGAAATTCATAAAGAGATTCTAATTTTTTGTTAAGAAAGTTTGAGGAAAAACAAGTGTTTTATAAACTATGTAATGTTTAGTAAATTAAGTATAGCACAATTTATATAGATATAAACTAGTTTTTATTATATTTGCATAAAAATAAACCAATAGTAATAGAACGTTATCATATTTTACTTCCCAATAATCTACATTAATAAATTTACCATTTTACTCAAATGGAAAAATACTATAGTTATTTTATTAAGTATTTATCAAACTGCCTGTGTTCTGTGGTTCATATTTAAAGATATAAATACATAAAACATGTAAGCATGTTAATACATTTTATCTTACATGTAATATATGTAATAATAGTGTGATATGTAGTAGCTTCCCTTGAAAATACTAACATTTTGGAATTGGGATTGGATAATATAAATAGCAATATTCATCAAGATCCAAGATCACACTGCTTTAATGTACTTACCGTGACATGTCCTTGCCTTCATTTCCTTATTAGAAGACTTACGTGCCCATGAAAAAAATCGGCGCATAAGTTGGCTGTCGAAATTTGTTTTATTCCTTTAACATGGGTGCTGAATAGCAATATGCAGATAGCGTGAGGGGCACTGAAGACACGGAAAAGACAGGGGAACCCTGCTTTATGGAGTTGACATTCTTGTGAAGAGTGGGAGAGGCAAACAGTAGTCATGAAACAAATGGTTAGCAAGGAAATCAGACCTGTGGTGTGCAGAAAAGAATGCGGGGAGTACTTTATTTAGATTTCTTGGCTAGGAAAAAAAATATTTTTCTGATAACCATATTGTGAGAGAATCTTCTCAGGAAGAAGAAAAGGAAAGTGTTTAACTTGCTTTCTTTTAGGACTGCACTTAGAAAAACCCCTTGGGTAAAACAATGAACTAATATTTTTAGGATAAAGTTTTAAAATACTGCCCTGGTAATTGTGAAACTACAGTCCTGGCCTGCATAACCAGTCACTTCTTCAAAAAATTAGCTATTGTGAGACTGTAATCTAGGAGGAGGAAGAACCAGCGATTCTCAACAGATGGCATGTGAAATTTTCCTCCCTGTCTGCCCTCCTCTTACTATTAGATGTAGTAGAATAAATATTTTACTCAGTGACTTGTTTTTGTATTTGTTGTTATGTAGCCAAGAAGTATCACTTTTCACTTTGATGTAGCTCTTCAAAGGTATCTAATACAGTTTACAAATAAAAGATAGGAATTATTTATTACTCTTCATAAATTGTGGCTAATTTAGAGGCCCAGTTTTTTGGTGGTTTTTTTTTTGGGGGGGGGGGGGAGGAGAGGGAGGATAAGACATTATATTTTACCTTATAGATAAAGTTTACTATGCCAAAATAGTTACTTTATTTTAAGGTACAAACATAATAGTGAATATTAAATATACGTGTTACTGTGAGTAGTTAACTATTTTAACCATATTATTACTCAAGCAAATTCAGTGAATAATTCTCAATCTGTAAATAAAAGGTTTTATTTTCTCTTTGGCCCACACTTTATGTGATTTTGTTTTTCAAAGGAAAAAACAAACAACCAAAATGCTGTGATCTATCAACAGGTGCAGGGATAAAATGAGGAAGGGACCTATTACCTCTAAGACATCTAAGCCTATGAATGAAAGTGTTAGACAGCACCTGAACACACAAAGGTTTATTCAGTTATGTACTCCCTAGAGCACATATCATAAAAAGTACTTGACATAAAAAGTTGAGTTTAGGCTTCTATTATAATAGAACTCTTTAAAATGTTTTAAAACATATATACAAAGGTCACCTCTCATGGATCCCTGGCTCCTTAATCTCAGCAGTAATCTCTCTGTACCATCTGGTGTCTTAATTAGAGCCCCCCAAAGAAAAGACTTATCTATGTAAGCAGGGTCACATTAATGTCCTAGGAAATGTTTGTTGTTTCTGTTTATTTATTTTAATCTACCATTTTAAAGATTTTACTGCCTAACGCAGACTTCTGTGATTAGGTACTTTGTTGTATGTGTTAAAGTGTGTGTGTGAGAGAGGGGGGGGGGGTGGTGAGGAGGTAGAGAGAGACACACTAACAGAGACTGGTTGCTATCCATAAACGTACTTAAAGGAATATGAAGCATAATATAGACTAAGCATGAACAATTGAAGAGCAATGTACCTTTACAAAGTAAATACCTCAGTTTCTTTACCAAATTCAAAAACATAGCAATGTGAATGTATTTACTGCTCTTGGTGCGACAGCAGTTTGGTACTATGTGGATCCATTACATGAAATTTTTTCCATATTGTTAGTACAGAGTGGAAATAGATTTGGACTCTTGTCTTTCTCATTTTCCCCCCATGGATAGATGCCTAGATTTCACACCTACTTAAGTAAAAAGGATTTCATTTCTTGTACATTTTGTGAAATAATTTGAAAATTATTTAGGACTTATGTACAATGAGTAGAAAACTATATGATGGTATCAGTAATATGCCTTTTCTTTCTTTATACAGATAGCTGCTGCTCTGTGGTGGTACTTTGTATCTAAAGGAATTGAGTATTTGGACACAGTGTTTTTTATCCTAAGGAAGAAAAACAACCAAGTCTCTTTTCTTCATGTATATCATCACTGTACAATGTTTACATTGTGGTGGATTGGAATTAAGTGGGTCGCAGGGGGACAAGGTGAGAATTTCCAGAAACATATCTGCATTTATTAAATTATGTAAATATGTTGAGTGGAAAGTAATGAAAACCTGGAAATTTGAGTTGGTCCATATTTGAGTTGCTTTCATGATTATTTCTGTATTAATTTCATTATAAAGAAATCTGAAGAAAGTAAAGCTTTAGCTTTTTGCCTGTGACTTTTTTAAAACTAGAGATTTGCCCTAGAAATGAGCATAAGGTAATTATAAATGGAGGAAATAATATTTTGACGAGTAGTTCTAGTAGTTTTTATCCAAAGGATATCAAGAGATAGCTTCTCAATCTGTAGGCTCCATTCCAGTTCAAGCCAAGAGCTCACTCCTGCTCTAAAATATGCCTTGAATCAGCCTGTTGATTCTTACCCAAAGGAAATTATACAGACAGTCCTTGGGTTATGTTGGATTCGAGGTACTTCGTTTCGTGGTTACAGCACCATCTCCCATCTACCTAATAAAAGAGTAACATGCTAATTGACCATACCTTCACAACGCCCACCAGCCAACCAGGAGTGAGTATGTAAATTAACCCAGCAAAGATAGTGGGTTAATTTGCATATGCAGGCACAGAGCGGCCAGGATAGAGTGGGATGCTTATGCTGTCGCTATGGCGAAGACTCTAAAGTTCTGCACCATCCCAGCTGCTCCTGGCCTCTGGGCAGCGTGGGAAGGCAGAAAGGCGGTTCCGGGCCAGAGTGAAGGCGGTTCTCGCAGCCAGGGGAAGGAAGGCCCGTTCTTGTATGAATCTTCAATTGCTATTTTATTTATAAAAACATTCCGTCATTTTGACATATGTACATGTGTGCTTTATGTGTTTTATTATTTACCACAAGTAAAGGTCAGGAATTAACTTTCTTTTGAAATTTTTTTTTAATGTTTCACTTCATCACTGCTGTGTATGTGCCCCATGTGAATGACATAGGTGCTTATGTAGGTGGTTCGGAAAATCGAGTTACGTTGTGCCATAGGAACGGATCTCCAACATAACCCTAGGATCTACTGTATATTGCTTTGTTGATGCTAAATATAATCTGAATTCATAGTTTAGCTAAGATCTGCCTCTAGCTTTTTAGATGCCTATAGATTGAAGATGATTTACATTCCTCTGATGAGGACCCATGGTACAAGTCATTATAGTACAGTTCACTTCACTATTTTCCATTTAAAATGATTTAGAAGCCTAAGAAATATTTTTGTAGGTATTTATACTGGCACATCTAAAGGCAATAATGAAACATTTGAAAATTTATTAAACCATTATATGTTGATTACACTCCCCCCCAACCCCTGACAAGAATAATAGGATGAAAAATAATATAGGTAATTCTATATTGGGGCCCACTTGAAGTACTAGAGTACCCGACTTGAAAACTCACTATTTTGAAAACCCTTTGCATTTGAAGAACATCCATTTTTTATATGTTAAAAGCCTGAGTGTAAACATTAAAAATATCTAGCATGATCTGAAGAGAAAGCTTTTCAATAATACTATTTTACAACTTTTATTCCTAATTTTTACTCAAGATTAAATGTTAGGAAATAAAGTAGGCTCATTTGTTTTATTGGCCAATAAAATTTTCTATACCTTGTAATTTCCTCTTTTTTTAAAGCATTTTTCGGAGCCCAGCTGAATTCCTTCATTCATGTGATTATGTACTCATACTATGGGCTAACTGCATTTGGCCCATGGATTCAGAAGTATCTTTGGTGGAAACGATACCTGACCATATTGCAGATGGTAAGTTAAATGTTCTAAAGCTTCTTCTGGTACAACACTGAAAATGTTTGAGTTTATTGTAAAGTGCTGAGTGTAAAATTTTTGACAATTTTTTATTACAAATTCAGCTCTGTGAGCCAGCTTTGGGAGTTGAAGTAGCTTGGCTCTGAGTTACTTGTTGATATATTTATGGGTTATAGCCACTTGCTTTTTAAATGGCTTCAAAAGACTAGACTAGCTCTTGTCTAAGAGAGTATTCTTTACAAACAAATATCTGTGAAGTGGATGAGTAAAGATCCAAGCACACCACAAAGTACATAGACTCACATATGACTAGAAAAATAATATAACTCTTTCTTAGGAGATTTTTAAAATGTTTACTTAAAATATTATTATTTCTCTTCATCTTGCTTGCTGTTCCAATTTTCAGTAACAAATCCCATTTAGAATAAGAATTGAAGAAAAGGCTTAGAGCCAAGAAAGGGTTTGAATAAAGGACGAGAACAAGGCCTGGAGAACTCCTTAATTCTCCAATACCAAGTCCTCGGAGAGCAGCAGAGCTGGGTATTTTCAATCGCTAGTCCTTGGAGCAGACCGTTTTCAGCATATACCCCAGTACAACTTCATATGGCATTTGGGTGCTTCAGTGTAACATTCAGAGCTGGACACTAGATCAGTAATGAAACTGGAAACCCAGACCAACTGGTAGTATGTTCAAGCCTTGGAATTTATTATAATTTGCTTTAATCATAGCATGCACACAATTTTATCAGTGAAATCACATTTGGAAATATTATCCATCTCTGCTTTAAGTTGCCAAACAGCTGGCTAACCAAACAGGAAACACAACTTTTGGGGAATGCTGGGTGTGAAGGATTCATTTGTAATTAAAATGCTACAGGAAGCTTCCTTTAGTTTTTGTGCAAGCTGTTTATACAGTTTGTGTAATTTATTTCTCTTAGTAATTAGTGAGTGGTCCCAAGAAAATGAAGAGATTACAAAAATCACATGAACTATTGATACCTATTTTGTTGGAGCCTGCATCTGACTCTCTTTAGCGATGCCATACTCAATCACACCCACAGACACACCCTTTTTCGGTGATGCCAGTTCCAAGAACCATTGTGAAATCAAAAGTTCTTAAAATCTGGACTTGCCTTGGAAAAAATTTTAAGTAGTTTATGTAAATATAAATTTGGGATTGACCTGGAATAAATTATTTTTAATGATATTTAATATAATAATACTGATAATGCTATCCTTAAAGAGAAACCGCAAAAGTCCATTCCAAATAGGATATTAAATTATGAAAGGTAGTGTATTTCCAGTTCTTAACAACAGATAATCATGTAGGTTAATCTTGTAAAAACATAACACTGGTTAACACACGAATTCATAGTTTTTGAAAACCTTTCATTTATTAATATATTAGAATTTAAGCTGATTTGCCTCATCTTAATTAAAAGCAACCTTATTTTGGCTTTTCTCCTTTTAAAATCTCTTCAAGTTGAAAGTGATTCTTTTTGCACTATTTTCAACTACCTGCTAAATTTTACCAAAGATCTTAGCTTTTAAAGCATAGTGTTAATTCAAATGCCTATTACTTGTCTGCTATTTTGTAAGAAGTTCATTTTAAAACTATAGATATCAACTTGCCGACAATTTTGTGGAAAGAAAGCGGTCTAAAATGTGGGAACAACACAAAAATTGAAGAGCCTTCAGTACTATTACTTTACTCTCTTAGGCCCTTGATATTCTCTCATTAGATAATATTATTCACTAGAGGCTCAGTGCATGAAATTGGTGCACTGGTAGGGTCCATAGTGGCTGCCAGGACCTCCCTTCCTTCCCCTGGCTGGCCCCCACGCCCTGTTCGAACTCCAGAAGAACTCCCTGTTGAGGGGACAATTTGCATACTGCACTTCTATTATATAGGATTATTTTCCAACAGATATTCATTGAGTCTAGATACTGTGCCAAGGACTCAGGAATCATCATAGCAAAACAGTGTCCTGCCCTTTGGAATTATATACTAGCGGAAAGATGGGTGATCCAGAAGTCAATTCTAAATAGCTGTCATTCTTATCAAGGAAAAAAACCCCACACAAAACAAAAACCCTTTGGTGAATGGGCTTGAAATGGCCAGTTGGGTGGAGGCACTTTAGTTCTAGTCATCAGGAAGCCTTACTGAGGAGATGGCATTTGAGCAGCTACCTAAATGAGCCAGAGCCAGAGAACTGTTAAAACTTTGGATGAGGTGGCAGAATCTGGGCCTGTCTTAGCTATCTAGTAGATTCTGAAGTTGTTTGCTATGCATTTGCTTCTGTTTTCCAGGTTCAGTTCTTTGTGACCATTGGACACACAGCAATGTCTCTCTACACGGATTGCCCCTTCCCAAAGTGGATGCACTGGGCTCTGATTGCCTACACAATCAGCTTCATATTTCTCTTCCTCAACTTCTACATTCGGACATACAATGAGCCTAAAAAATCAAGCACTGGAAAAACAGCTGTGAATGGTATTTCAGCCAATGGTGTGAGCAAATCAGAAAAACTGGTGGTAGAAAATGGAAAAACCCAGAAAAATGGAAAAGCAAAAGGAGAGTAAATTGAACTAGGTCTTAACTGTTGTTGACAGTGAGGAAGCTCCCATTTCAGATAAAATTTTAGGGAAAACAAGCAAATGAGGGATTGGGGTGGGGAGAAAAATGGCAAATGTGCTCCTGTGTATTAGTGACCTTTAGATTGAGTAAAGTGTTAACTATGATACCCAGATGTTTTATTTATGACATTTTTATTTTAAACTTTTTTTTTTTTTATTAGCTTTCATGTCCAGACCAAAGCAATTGTTATGTGACTTTGGAGGTTCTCCCTCTGTTCACATCGTTTGTTTACTGCATGAAATTTCTCATGTATCTTATATACAGTCATTCTTCAGTCTGATGATTACAGAAACACAGTCTTTATGAGTTTTTTTTTTTGTGTGTGTGTGTGTTTGTGGCTAAATTACTAATCGCCTACTGATTAAATCAGTTACTTTACATTTGCTGGTCCAAAGCTAGAAATGCAGATACTTTAAAATTTGCACATTTGAATTTACTGACTGGAATGATCGAATCTCTCCACCTCTGGTTTGAATATACCTTTTTGGTTATAATTAAAATCTGATGATCTCTGTAGACTTTTAGAGGGTTGATGATGACGGTGTCGGTGAAAATAAGAAAGAATTACAGTAAAATCCTGTCTGGCGACCTAGAGGGTCATCATGACTTGTGGCACAAATCACTGCGGGAAACAGTTTTTGTGAAAAGGCAGCCTTTTGATATTTCTATGACTATCAGAAATACATTATGAAAATTAAGATTATTGTCTGATTGGAATGTGAAACATCTCATGTCTTTATTGGTGACATCATAAATAGTTACATTAATGTGCTGTTAGGAGACAGTATGTTGATTTTTACCAGACTTCTAATGTTTTGATTTGCGGCTGTTAACCGATTTTTCATATGTGGAAATATACCTACCTCTTCTGTTGGAAAGAACATTTAAAATTAAATAAATTTTAATTTAAAAAAATCAAGGAGTCCTCCATTGTAGATCTTAATATTAACTATCCAGTCCACGAGTATTTTTTTTTCTTTTTTACAAAAATGGGCATACACCAAATTTTTCTGTGAAACTATTCTTCTTTTAATGTGTTTAATTTTGGAGTGATATTTTGCTTGTGACAGAGTTGCAAGATCTTATTTATTAACTAGACTAGTAGCCCTGCACACGAATCCTTGCACCAGTAGCTCTCTGCAAGGCTTGGCCAGTCCACGCCCCCTGCCCAGAGGCCCATCTGTGGCCAGGCAGGTATTCCACCAGGCTGCTCACGCTGCCCACTCTCAGTGGCTGCTCCCCCTCCCCTGAGGGACTGGGGGACTCTGGCAGGGCTTAGAGGACTGGGCGTTGCCATCTTGTGGCTATGGGCGCTGCCATCTTTATGATGGAGGGGCAGTTAATTTGCATATTACCCTTTTATTAGATAGGATATGAAGTGTAAACCCATTTTGGTGCAATATTCATGACTCCTTGGTGCTAAAAAATCATTAAATTCAGTGCTTGATTGTCACAAGGTGTTAATTGTTAAGACACAAAATGAATAAAAATGAGAGTAGTCAGAACTAGAAAGTTAAATTTGCTGTTTACAAATAAAGTATTTCATGTAATATAAGTGAACAACTGGAAATTCACTAAGAAAGAGAAGTTGTACAGTGTCTTTATTACATAGGTCAAATTGTTAGGGGTGTTGCACAGGAATCATTATGGGAAGAGAAAATGAACCTAAGTATCTCAAGATGTCAAAACTGCATGTGCAGGTTGTATGCTGTTTGTGCAGACCAACTATTTCAGAATATTTGTAAACTATAAAATATTTATTGTGCATTAAAATTACACACTTTTCCCCCAAAAGGTATGCAGTCATGAAAAAAAAAGTATAGAAAATTTGCAACAAATATAGCAGTTTGGTCTAAGAGGATTCAGCACCTGTGTTTTTGCTGCTCAGTGTGTAATGACTAGAGATTTGTAAATCTTTGTGAACATTCTGTACTGGTTCCCCAGAGCTATTCGTTCCCTGCTACCTGATTTCAGCACAATAAATATACTACTGCTGTGGGAAAACTGACATTTTGTTAATCAGTTTATTATAAGGTAAACTATCTACTACATTGGTGTTTCTTCAATTCAGTTGTTCTAAATTCTGCCAATTTCTAATGCAGAAAATAAATGAAATTAGAACTTGGATGTCTATAATTTCTGATTTAAAAATTATGATAGCATAGTTTTACTTTAAAAATTAGTTGCTTTTGGATCCAGACACAAAACGATTTTCTTCTAAAATAGTCTTACATTTGTCATTTCAATTGTAAGCTTTAACACTTTTAAATTCTGTGCACTTCTTTCTGTGCCAAAATTAAAGTGGGTTGGGTGGGGGGAGGGGTCTTGTGTCCTTATTTGTAAATCATTTAGCTCTCACTGTACCTTATCATAGATGATTTTAAGATGTTATAAATATAACCTTTTCTAGTTGCTTTCATAATATCTCTACCATTAGACTAAGGTGCATGCTTCATACCTAAGTCACTGAAGGAGGATTGCATCCTATTTTTGGTAAAACTTTGTCTCTAACTACAGAAATGTTTTCTTACATAGAAAGCAGGAACTTTATTAAAAAATTTTAATGAGTAGAAATACCTGAAGCACATGGCAGTGCATTTTCCAATACAGTCGATAACTATAGCTCTTCTTTTTCCCCTTTTCTATGTTACTCTTGACTCTGTTTTGTTGATGGACACTGACTGATGACTAATTTCAGTATTAGCATTTTTAATTTCGTCATTCTCTTTTTCTTTCTTTACACACACTCTTTGGCTTTCAAAATGGATTATTATACTAGAGGCCCAGTGCATGAAAATTCACTCAGTCCAGCCTACCCGCTCTCACAGTCTGGGAGCCCTCAGGTGTGAGAGGTGACCTGGTGATCAGGGGAAGGTGATGCACCCATCACACCTCTACTGCTGCCACTGCCGGCAGTGCAAGCCTTGGCCTGCCCTGGTTACCTGAGCCTTGGGCATCCCTGGGCAGCTGGGCAGCCGCCATCCAAGGCTTGCCTGTGCCTTGGTCCTGCCCTGGGGGGCTGAGGGAACTGAGTGCTGCCATCTTGTGGCTGAGGGCACCACCATCTTTGAGGACAGGGCAGTCAATTATCATATTACCTTCTTATTGGCTGTGGGCACTGCCATCTTTGTGATGGCATGAGGGTCAATTAGCACATTTCCTCTTTATCATATAGAATTCACATTTTAGAACATGGATTATTAAATCACATTTTAGAACATGGAATCTTGCTATATTTTATAGTTTATTGGGAATATTTTAATTTACAAGTTTATTTCATATATGCAGGTCAGTTTCCCTATAAATAAGAAAGAACCTAGAAGTGGAAGTGTTTTTTGATGTCCTACCCATTTCATAAAATGACGATTTAGATATTGTGTATTGACTGTTGGCACTGAACTTTAACCTTCATTGAAATGTTACATCAAGCTGAGCTGTACGCTCTTGGCTCTTTCCTCTTCATAGCTTAATCCCAGCCAGCTGCATTCACAGCAGTCCCCATGGAGAAAAAGATGCCTGCCGATGTATGGGATGTAAAGTGGGTGCTCAGTACAGACAAGGGGGATTTAGATTTTGGATCCTGCCGCATGGTCGATAGGTCTGCAGAGTTAGACGCCATGATGCTGAGCTCATACACAGGAGCTCAGCATCTTAGCAGTAGCCATAAAACCTGAGTACTGAGATCCGTCACCTACCACTCTGCAAGTAAGCAATTTTGATGCAGCAATCTTGGAGAACAAGTCCTTTATTTTGGAATCCATGTTTAATCTTAGATATTTCATTTTATTTATTTATTTACTTATTATTTATTTTAAATATACTTTTATTGATTTCAGAGAAGAAGGAAGAGGGAGAAAGAGATAGAAACACCCATGATGAGAGAGAATCATGGTGGTCTGGCTACCTCTTGCAAGTCCCCCACTGGGGATGGAGCCCACAACCCAGGCATGTGCCCTTGACCAGAATTGAACCTGGGACCTTTCAGTTCACAGGCCAATGCTCAACCCACTGAGCCAAACTGGCTAGGGCTAATCTTAGGTATTTTAGGCAGATGATATCTAAACCAGAAGTAAAATTGTGAAAAGGATGAGAAATAGAAACAGATTTCTTGTTTCCAAACTCTACAAATCATGCAAGTATTCGAAGTTGGTTTTCCTAATATAAATATGAAGGGAAGGCACATATTAAAGGTTGGTTTTCCTAATATAAACACGAAAGGAAGGCACATATGATGTAACATTTAAATTTTATTATTTTTTAAAGTTTTAAAAATAGTAGGATGTAACATAACTCTATGTTCCTGAAGGATTCAAAGATCTAAATTAAAAATTATCACTGACATATAGAACCACTACCATATGAAGATGGATTCTAGAATAAATCACCAAAAGAGCCTTGTGACCTATTGAAGAAGGTGGTCAAAGCTATCCTTAGATGGTTCACAGGAATTGTAGGTAGAAAGGGATAATCTTCATACCCCTTGGAGCTCTTTTAAGCTTTCAGGTCTAGCTTTTGCTGTATCATTTGAGAAATTATACTTTTTCTTCCTAGTTAAAAAACAAATAAACAAAAAACAGCCCAGATCTTAGGTCTTTTATTTTTTCCTTCGTCTTTTTCATTTTACCACACGAAGTCATGTATACATGTCCACATGTAAACAAATTTTCTTTCATACCTTCATTCCTTTGAGATCCATCTGTTCTTAAATAGAAATTCAACTAGAATTTTATTTTTCCCATTCTGATTGGTGAGGTTTTCCCAGGGGAATGTATCTTAAAGTATTTCCTTTAAGAATAAATACATGCTGAAATATATCACCTGATACCTATCTACCTAATTATAATAATCCAATGAAGCTGTCAGAAGGTCACATTGTAATTGAACATGTACATAGAACGATGTCCAAATTAAAAGCCATTCTTAAGTGAAAAACCTTGGAAGGTTT